AGGGGAGGGAGGGTGAGGAGTAGGTTACAGGGGAAATGGGTGGTGATGGCTCAGGGTGTGTGGTCATGCAGGTGTTTAGGCAGCACATGGAGAAGTCAAGAGAGTGGTCACGTCAGGTGCATGCTGCTATATAAGTTAAATATTTATACATGTGCTTCCTCAGTGGAAAAGATGCTCTTTGCATTTTAGCTCTTTCTGGTCATTTTGCGTACCGATTTTAAAACTGCTGTCTAAGTTTCGTTCTCTGAGCAAAGTGCCACACAGTTTCACAATCTGATTTGCTTTGCCTCAAACTGAGGGTAAAAGAAAGGGCATCCTTCAAGTGGCAGCTGTGGGTACTCAGTGCGTACTGAAAATCATTGCTTTGCAGAGGATCTGAAGCTAGACATCCTCAAATGAAAGCCTCAGAAGTCACTATCGCTTTGTGGGAAGCATTTTCTTTGAACACAGATTCCTGCCTTACCTACCCTGTGCCCTACTCCAGTGCACAAAGCAGCAAAATGCAGTCCAAAATTCTGGAGAATCATCAGTCTCTTCTGAGATCTGTTATTGGAATGCCTCTTGTAGAATTCTGTGAGCTTTAGAAAATATGACAAGCAAGCAGTGGGGGGGGAAGTAAGTTCACTAACTAGACATAGTGGGAGCTTCTGACTAAGAATACAATCTCTTACTAATAAGGAAACTGTTTTGAAGTTTGAAAGGATGTATTTTGGTTGTAATGCAGATGACTGATACTGGTAATGTTGCGTGCTCTCAATCATAACATGTAGCCTTTACTTCCAAAGCTGCTGTAATTTGTTACAAAAATGCAGAAGCGGTAAATTTGGAAAAGAAAACATACCTTTCCATTCATATTTAAAAATAAATAACAACTCAACCAGCCTGACTTTTGCTAAGGCTTCTCTACTGAGTAATGTGTGGAAAGCTGTTCTTGAAGGCTGTTGGTACCCACAATCCACTTTCTCATCTCCCATATTTCATGCTCTTTTACTTTATTATTAACTCCCATCTTAGACACCCACATGTTCGGGGCCAGGTTCCCTCTGTTTTTTTCTGAGCATAGAGTACTCAGCTCCTTTAGAGGGCTCTCCTAAATTTCCTGTCACTTGCAGCAGGACTCCAGCAGGATGCTGAAGATCCATATCTGGAAACTGTGCAGGTGCTTTCAGTAACGGGGTTGTTACTGAAACCTAGAATGCACTGATTGCAGGTTTTATGGTAAAATATTAAAATGTTGTATTAGGTCATATGGGCTGTTCATGGTCTTACAAAGCAACCCCTGTAGGTGACATCAGGTAACACAAGTAATTATGTGAGTCCATAATACATTGTCAGTGCATGTTTCCACTGATCATCAATTTAGATAGCTCTTTCCTCATTCCTGTGAATGGTTTCTTTGACTGCGTGCAGAATGCTGACATATTTGGTAACATGTCTGTGTAGATCTATTTGCCCTTGTAAAACTGGCTTTAAGCCATTTGTGGTAACTTCTTCCTGTTCTTCATTTGCCAGGCCTTTATCTAATAAGGTCCTTAACTGGGTGAAACCTTTTAGAGATGGGAAGAGCTGAAATCATTTTTCAGTTAGAAATTTTGGAGCATGTAATGATTTGTGTTGACTGCCTGCAGATCTACTCACAAATCTCTGTTGACCTCATGATTATAAATAATCATCCAAGGATAACAAATTGATATTCCAGCAATATGTAACTCCTGAAAATGCATGTAAGTGGCCCCATTCATGAGCTGGCATCTTTGTCCTACACACTTCACTAACACTCATAAAAACTCCTTTTCTCAATGAGCTTACAGTTCCTGTGCAGCAATCAGCACATTTTTTTTTTGGATGTATCAGTGTCTTTGTGCAGTGGTTCATGTTGGCACATCTACTGCTGAGATGAAGGCTGCTTCAATTCCTTGCCCTTTTAAACAGACATTGATTCTGGATACAATTTTCCTTTGTGTTAAGATACAAAATTCATTGAATGCTGATTCATTGAAGCTAGAACGGAGACCAACAAGTCCATCTGACTAGGTATGTATCTTATATCAAGAATAGAAGCACTTGAACTTTAATTGTGTACATCTCAGGAAAGAGCACTAACCTCTAGATTGTTTATTTTGTTTGTAGTTGTTTTCATGCAAAACCTCAAAGGTCTTGATTTCATTCCAAGGCACTACAAAAATATCTCTGAAATCATGAAAAGCTTTGTGGGATAGGCAGATGTACATGTTCCCACACAGATCTGCAGACAGTTTTTCTAGTAATGCTTGCTCCATTTTCATGACAATGAACAGAAAACCTAGATAAAAACAGACAAAAAAAGACGAACAAAATCTACATTTGCTAGATGTAGTTATCTCAGATTTACTTTAAGAAGTCCAAATTATTTAGCAAGGCAAGTGGCATGTTAGAATTTCATCACTTCCATAACACACCGTGAAGGACTCTGCAGTCATCAGGCTCTTTTAGTATGGATGAAACACACAGTCTGTTACATTGCTTTGTTTAATTAGTTGCTTCCTTTATACTATTTTTCCTTTGTATGAAACATTTGCTGTGGTGATTTTCTTCAAGCTTTGCAATATGTAGCAAGTTAATTTGGCTTTTATTTTTTTCCCCGGGGCTAGTATGGAAACTTGAGTCTGATTTACTGAGGAAACACTCTTCAAAAACAAGAGAGTGATTTTTTTCAGTAATAAGGATCACAAAGTATTTGAAATGCAACTCACAGATTTTTCTCTTTCTTTCTTTCTTTCTTTCTTTCTTTCTTTCTTTCTTTCTTTCTTTCTTTCTTTCTTTCTTTCTTTCTTTCTTTCTTTCTTTCTTTCTTTCTTC